ATCTCTTCAATATATTCTTCCCACCTCCCTTTCTCCACCCACCCACTGATACTTTTGCACACTGAGGGCTCACCTTGTACTCCAGTGATCAGAATATCCACGGCCATCCTGTATCCACAAATGGCAGAACTAATTTCTCCCTCCTTCTCCCTCTCCATGGCAGCTGTCAGCTCCTTGGCAGCTTGGTTTAAGTAACCCCCGTCCTCTCCGTCCACACTGTTTGATGGTAGTGAGAATAACTCTGAGTGGTCGGTGGAAGAATTGGATCTATCTGTAAATCAAAGAAAAAGAGATATTGTAGTAGTAGTGATGTTGTCTTTAGTAAACTATGTCTTATGCTTTATTTGTTAGGTTTTAAAAAGTCACTATTTAAAATAAATCACTGGATGTCATGCTTTTAACCGGAAACAGCAGTTAAGGTCTGCTGTCTAAAACAAGAATTACCTGATATGTTTCATTTTTGGGACTGTTAATTAAACAAAACAGCCAATGTGAATGTACTGCCCAGGCCTGTGTTTAAACTGTAATGACACTCTGAACTACTTCCTGACCACTTAGAGACCAAATGTAAATAAACATTTGGAAGATGCCTCTGGATCCTTCACCTAGAAGATTAACTCAAGAACTGCAACATTTAATGGTCTTCAAAAAACGCTTTTTTAAAATTGTACTTCTATTCATTTTTATTATTATTGTTATTATTATTTATTATAGCCAAAAAAGCCAAGGGAAGGAAGACTGTTATTATATTGGACAGCACGGGCTCACCAAGTTCTAATAGAGCTCCAGCATAAATGTATAAAGACATTTACACTAGTATATGTTATCACGAAGCTCACAGACATCTTCTTATCCACTGACACAGTAAGTAAAAGCGTTAATGGATAAGACACATATTCGGGAAGACTAAAATCAGCTTTATATGATTACATTCACATTTATTTTGGCATCACCTTGTTTATAGCAGGGATCAAAAACAGCCAAGTCATTATCAGATAGTGGAGGAGGAACTTCTTCCTTTGGGGATGGGAGTCCTTCAGCCACAGAGTCAAACAGTGAGTCGAATTCTTCCTGGGTCTCTTTTGATTCGGGGTCCGTGAATGGAGATGGGACTGGAGGGAAAACACGGATCGAAAAAGTGAGAACAACGGTAAGAATATAAGAATTAAATAAGGACATAACCAGTGTTGGTCAAGTTACTTGAAAAAAGTAATCAGTAACTAATTACTGATTACTTCCCCTAAAAACTAATCCCGTTACTTTACTGATTACTTATTTTCAAAAGTAATTAATTACGTAGTTACTTAGTTACTTTTTAAAAACAC